ACGTAGCGCACGACCCAGTAGACATGAACCCAGGAGCAGGGAGCGGCCGAGGAACGGATTTGCCTGAGAGCACCAGGAGAGGGCCCCAGGAGGGAGTGCCCCCAGGATCCAACGGATAGAATACCTGGGTTATACACCTTACGCGAGGCCCCACACAGCCGAGCCAGGTATGCTAATTCACGGCCACGTCGAAAGGAAATCGCCCGCCGCTGCTGGATCTTCCACGTGGCCCGTCTCTTGTGAGCCGTGGTGGCGGCGCCCGAGTCCTTCACGCTCGTGGAAAACTGAATGGAGACGCCATGTCTCTTAAACTCATCCTGCAAGAGCCGCTGCAACTCGACAGAGGAAGCAACAGCAAGTGACTTGGCGCTCACGATGCACTCAAGGTCAGACATGTCGTTCTGGAAGGGTGCTGCAGCGGGCGGCAAGTGGTGGCAAATGAAGGCGACAGTACCTTGCAAATACTGCGTGATGTCATCTACATATGACCTGATAGGGGGCACGAGCCTGAAGGAGGTCTCCAAGGCCTTCTGGAATCCTGTTGTGGGCCTTCTCCGGTGCCCCATACAAGTAGCACGTAACCCAAGGCATACTCTGAGTGCCAGCCAGGATAGACCCCCCCCCCCCCCCAGGCGCCAACACATTTGTCAAACTCCCAGACGCTTCAAGAAGCCTCGGAGCCGCGTGCATGAGGAGCCCCAAATACAGGAGGTGCCCAGGGTACCCTTGATTAGTAGCAAGATGCAGCAACTTACTGGGGCTAACCGAGTCGAAGAACCTCTCGAGGTCCCAATGGAGGGCGCAGGAGTGAAACCCGCAAGCATCGGCCACCTCATGGGCCACCTCCCGAAATAGCGCGGCCTTCAAGGCCGAGGATCCTCTGACAGCGGAGTCCCTGGAATCCAAGTGAGCCGTATTCCAATCGTCGGTGTCGAAGCCTCTAGCCCTGCAATAGATGCGGTAGATACTAGGGCACGTGACGACCCTCGCAAATGGACTTGGGGAGCATGGCCATGGGGCAGACATAGCACTGAGGTGGGGAACTCAACGTCTCTTCAACCTGGCGGAGGATGCCCGTGAACACTTCAAGCGCATCGATGGGCACCGGCAGGAGAGCACGAGGCGACCACATATCAACACCAAGTGACGTGGTAGCCTTGATACATGTGCAAGCACGGGCGACGTCTGCAACTCCCAACGGTGCACGATCTTCGAGCGAGACGATGGCATGGGACCTAAGCTCGCCCATGCCAGCATTCAAACAGGGAGACTGCTGAGAGGTAGGGGTCCACAACGCTTTCCAATTTTTCCCCCCGAAAACTCATCATAGACTTCGGGGTGTTGACGATTCCATTGGGCGTCTCGAAGTACTCAGCCCAAACCTTCTCCTCGGCCTCAAGATACCTATGAACTGGGCTAGCACCTCGAGGAAGCGAAGCCTGCAACCAAGTGCGCATGCGGGCCTTGGTCCTAGCATGCGCGAGTCCAAGGTTTAACGCAAACCAATCCTCAAGCATCAACCAGGTTCTTTAGGGTCCCGGGGCTCCACGGGGGATTGATCAAGATATCCTTCCAACTTACAGCATATTCTGGACTCTCAAGAGGCTCAATATGCAAGAAGGCGTCGGGTGCCAATTCCGACAGAACGGCGCCAAGCAGCGTCAGAGAGAGAGAGGAGGGGAGGGGAAAAAACAAAAAAAAAAAAAAAAAACGTTTGCACGTGGGCTTCCACAACTCATACAGACGGCTGGAAATAAGCGACCAATACGACAAGTCAGGGTTCCGAAAACTCTGCGCCTGCACGCTGCGAGCCATCAGAGACAAGTCTTTTCGCTTGAGGATGCTCCCTCGGCCTACATATCGGCGCGGGTCGGTAACGATTGCACGTGCACGAGATAAAGGGCGCAGCGCCATAGCACGATACCAGGTCAGATACTGCATACCAAAGCTCCGAGATAACCATTCCTTCGAGTGATCAATCATAGCATCGCACAGGCCCCCAGGGATGTTCATGGGGGCCCCCAGGAACTCAGGAGCAGCAGCAGCCATATAAGTAAGCCAGTGATGGTCAGGACCATAGGCTTCGGGGATCTCCAAGGGCTTCACACGCTGACAAAGGGGCTCAACCATGGCCTCCACGTTCAGGGTCACGCCCAGACACGCGTGGGTCTTGAAGGGGGAACGGAGGTCGGCAGACACTTCCAGGCAGGGAAAGAGCAGATCGGAGCACGCAATATAATCAATCATCGTTTCGCCAAATGAGCACGTGAACTCAACGCTCTTAGGTGCGATTGTTCTTGCTCCCAGAAGCTCCAAGATCCCAGCGCCCCCCAGGCAATCAACCGACATGTTGAAGTCTCCCATCAAAAACCACGGGGACGACTGGCCCCGAACAAACCCGGCAACCCCGCGCCAACGATGAGCGCTAGTTCCAGAAACTCCAATGGATGGGACAAGATAGACAACACCAACCGCACCATGGCAAGATCTGAGACGCAACCCGAGAAAGAACCAGCATTCACCTGTTCCCACCCGCACTGCTCCTTTCGCCTGAATCAGAAACTTGCGAAAGGAGAGACGAGGCTGGACGACAGCAGCAACTCCGCCATGTGTGCCTACACCTGGCGATGCCGGCGCATCCTGGAAGTGCGGGGGCCACTTCATGTGACGACGCGTCTTCAAGGCCAGGCAGCATCCAGGCCCGCTCTTGCGACGCTCATCCATGAATATGGCATTGACCTCAATGACCTTAGCTGCTAAAAAATCCTGAGTGAGCTTCGACCACTGAGTGACATTCGCAAACATAAACAAAACGCGCTTGGCCGCCAGGGGAGGCGGAGGGGGAGCGCAAAAAGCCAGACCGAGCAGGCGGGGCGTCAGAGGCGGCACCGCCTCCTGCAGCAGCGCCAGCGCCACGCGCATCACCCCCTGGTCCGACCTTGCCCATCATCTCAGCCGCAGCGTTGCAGAAGACGCGGTACACGTCGCAAGTGACGTTCTGCACATGACGAGCTCAATTTGCAGACATTGTCACAATGCGCTTCTGAATGGGGCCTGCATATGCCTTAGCTTGATGGGCGCCCAGTCCGCTCTCAGCGGCTCGACGTTTGAGATCGCGGAGCTGTCCGCGCTCGCCCTCCTTAAAGTCGTTGCCGCCGACCTCGCTTCCCACGTCCGAGTAGGCGTCCTGGTCCTGTCCGCCTGGCATTCGCTGCAAATGCTGGCGGTGCCGCTGCCGTTGCTGCGCGAGCTTAGACAACTCATCGTCGTCGAACTCGCGCGGGTGGGCCTCGATGCACGCGTGGCCCAGGCGGCCGCGCAGCCAAGGGGCAGCAGGAGCGTCGGACTGCTCCACCTCCATGTCCTCGGCAGCCGCCTGGCCTGGGGGAACACCGTCGGCGGCGCCGCCTGCAGCGGTCGGGGGGGGGGGCGCGAACCCCGACCGCGGCGCCAGCAGCCTGCGGGGCCTGGGCGGCCGGGGCGCGCTGCTGGGCGCGCAGGCGGCGCTGCTCCTCAACCTTCTCATCTTGAAATTGGCGACGTTGCAAGCGGTCTTGGCAGCATCCGCCTCTCTTGTCGTCGTCCGAGCCACCTCGAGGTTCTGCGCCGCCTCAGCATGGCTCTTCTGCACTTCTTCCATCGTAGCCTTCGCTTTGTTGTAGCGGTCCAAGCGCCAGTGGACCTCCAGGTAAGCCAGGCGTTCATGATTGGTGGCGTACTCGGCCTTCTTGGCCAGCTCAGTCTGCGCAATTGCTGCGAGCTTGTTCAGCTCGCTGTCAGGCAACTCACGAGCGTCGGGAGCTGGAGGGGGTGCAGCTTCACGTGCCGCACCAACCAGCGCAGGGTAATGGACAGACCACTTCTCCAGCTCTCGTAGTAGTTGAGGAGGCATTGGCACCGCAGCAGCGCCAGGAGCACCTCCACACATATCCCAGTCACCATGACTAGGGGCAGCGTAATCAGACGTGTACTTGTACTTGCCACCGCACTTGCTGCATGCGCGGTGACCATGGTGCGTGAATTCCCTGTGGTTGCAGACGGAGAAGACCTGGTACGAGCGATCCTTGTCGCTATTCTTCTTGTAGCTGGCCTTGGGCACTGACTGCCATACCCAAGAACCACCGCCATCAGCACCGTGCCAGGGCGCGCGGCCTCGCCACGACATGCCACGAACACGTACACTGAATGTAAAGGAGACTGCCAGACCACCAAGGGTCTTGCCTGCCGCGGACTAGCAATATCCGTGCGTGCCAATGCGGGCTCAGCCCGCCAAAGCATTACCCTTGAGCCAAAATGGCTACGGAGGAGGACGAGGAAGAGGAGGAGGAGGAGGAGGAGGAGGAGGAGAAGGAGGAGAGGAAGAAGAGGAGGAACGTTTTGCGCAGGAGGAAGACAACAAAAACGCTTCGCGCAAAAAACTTTAAATCGCGGGGGGCCGAAACCGACTGAAGCCAAACCACCAAACCCCCTTTGCATTTGAAGCCCACAACCTCCTTATCACCCGAAGGATGGTCGTATAGGTACGAAAATGGCTCCAGCCGTGTCCGCGCACGACGACGATGAGCGACGAGCGACGAGCTACGATCGACAACAACGACGGCGACGACGACGACCACGACCACGACGACGACCACGACGACTACGACGACGATGACGACTGCGGACCAGGCCCCTATGTGGACACCTATGCGGATCCCGCTGCGCACGGCGGGAGTGCCCAGGGCGCACTCGGGGGGGGGGGGGGGCGAACGTTACGGTATGAGGGGGAGGGCGGGTGGGGGCATCGCGCCCGTTATGCCCCAAGCAATAAAGAAACACGTTCCTCCTCGAAGCCTGGGGTCCTTCAGGATACTCAACTGTCCGCGCGTCTCGCCCGCGACCTTCCCCAGGGGCGCAGGGGCGGAGGAGGGGCGGGCGGATGGGGGCTGCTGTCAAGGCCGACGCGAGACGTGTCGGCCGAGTGTCCCCGAAATTCGGGAGCCGCGAACTGTTTGTAAATGCTTTTGTTCGTCCTTCGGCGTCGTACTGAACACAGCGCAATCACAAGGGCGGTAGAGGGCGACCTTCCGAGGCCATGAATGTTCTTACAAGGGGCCCGAGCCTTCTTCCGGCGGCGAGCCGGGGAGGGGGGAAGGCGATGGACGGGGCAGGGCGGCCCTTCTGATAAGGCTAAGATAAGAAAAAACCTCCAGTCTCCTGGGACAAATTGTGCGTAGAGCCCTCCCAGAAGGCATGCAGAGGGCCTCTCGGAAGGCAGGAGAGCTTCTGAGAAGCCCCGCCACCTTCTGAGCAGGCCTGTCCCATCTCACTCCCCCCCGCCCCCCCGCGCGCTGCCGATTTTATGGAAGGACGGGGACACCCCAAGGACGCCCGAAAACCTTCAACACTATCGCTGGCGTGCTGGCGGTCGCCCGGTGGCCGCGATCAGAGGAAGACTCAGGCCATCTGCAAGAACTCCGAGAAGTCGGCGCCGGAGAGGATCGCCTTGGCCTGCCTGAGAGCCTCGATCTCCTGGCCGGCGGAAGAGGGTTCGGAGTAAACTTCAGAGAAATGTTCGTAAGACCCGTTGATGGCTATTAAATCCAGCCGGAGGCCCATTAAGCCAGAATGGATCAGGATAAAGCCAGACTCACCTGGATCAATCAGGATTCTTCGGGAGTCCGCTGAATTTCGACCACGGGTATACCAGGGCCGAGGTTGAATTCAATATCCCTGGAGTTGCTTCCTAAACAGGTGGAGTGGTCTGGGATCGAAGATTGTCTAGGATCAAATTTCTGAAGCGCCCAAAGCTTCCATCGTAGACCTCCAGAGGCCTTCTCGGGGACCTCCTGATGCCTCCAGAGGACCCCCGACCACAGCTGGACCACCACCGACAACACTGCCGCAACGACGGCGACGCCTACAATCAGGGCAGCGACGACCACGGCGACTATCACCACCACGACGACGAAGCCCTCGACAGCGACGACGAGCCCGACGACCACTGAGGTACGCCCGCGACCATGCCGACGCCCAAGACATTCGATGCTCTGATTATTTCAACATGGGTTCCCCAGAAATCTCGACCCCATCCCTGGGACTGGCTTCTCGCCTGAATCGTTTCTGGCGGTCCTGGGGCCTAGCGAAGGACCCCAAAGGCCTAACCCGGCGAACGACCTCCTTGATTAATGTCAATACGTTGGAGCCTTGGGGGAGCTCACGACGAGAACGACGACGACGAAGAAGTCGACGACGACGACGTGGACGACGACAACGACGACGGCGGCGTCGGCGGCGGCAACGGCGACTACAACGGCGGCGGCAACGGAGGACCCGAGCTGGGTCCTCGTCCCGGCCCGTCTGCCGCAAGTCGAAATTCTTAAGGACAAAGTCGCAGCTCTGGTGCAGCTGCGCCTGGCTCGAAGCCCGGCCAGGAGGAAGAGGGGAAGGAGGGAGGTGAATGGAGAAGGAATGGTAGGGGGACGGGGACCAAGAGGGGTGGCGAGGAGGAGGAGGTCGGTCGGTCGGTCGCTGCATCGGGCTTCGGGTCGAGAGCCGCTCTACATCTGCTGTACTGCTACGTTGCATGCTGGCGTGCTGTACACGGGCCCGTGGTCGCCCGCGCGCCGCGGGCGCGCGCGCGCGGCCCCAGGCAGACCAGCCTCGGACAAACGGACAACTGGCTGTCAGTGCAACTGGCTGTCAGGGGCGGGCGCTTGGGCGCGCGCGCGAGCGCCCGCGCCTGGCGCGGGGGAGGGTGGCTCGTTCCTCTCGCCTCGGGCGCTCACCGCCTCGGGCTCGGCCGTGTCCTCTCCCGTCCTACTGCGGCGCACCACGACAGACACTGCGCCCCCTGATCGCGACCATAAGGGCAGCGCGGGAGCCTCCACGGAGACGGGCCGCGCCGCGAGGAGGCTAGGAGAAGGAGGAGGGGGAGGAGGAGGAAGAGGATGAGGATGAGGAGGAGGATGAGGAGGAGGAGGAGGAAGAGAGGGAGGAGAAAGAGGACGGGGAGGAATACAAGGAGGAGGAGAAGAACGAGGGGAGGAGTTGGACGAGAGACGAAAAAGGAGCCGGAGGAAGACCAATGCAAACCGGAGGCGAACCAACGATATTACAATAAACCCTCCCTCCAAACTCGGTGTTCATAAGCCCCTTACATGGATTCACACTCACTCACGGAAGGGCTCCGTTGAAACACAGCGGTTTGAAAATCCGCAACCGTGTCAAAAAACAATGATTGGGACTTCAACGTCGCGAATTACCGCTATTGCTGCGTCTCGACCGTCCTTAGTCGCGCCAGAGCATCACTCCTGGTAGCTCAACATCGCGATTCAACGAAACTGTTGTGCCCTGACTGTCCGACAACGTACAAAGGAAAAAAAACATGTCTGGGACGTTCGCCATAAGAATCTGCCGACCCTGTGCCATCGTGTGGAAAAGGCTTTTTGCTCTGCCCCATCTGAGGCTTTCCTGTCTGCCCCCTCTTCGTCGTAGTCGTCGCTCCTTCCCCTGTCCCAGGCCTCCCCCTCTAAGTGGCGAAACAAAAAGAAATTGAGTAATGTCGTAATCGCAGAATTGATCCACGTCGTCATTGAGTCGAAGGGAAGCCCCTACCCGTTCATATCTTCCCCGCCGGAGGGGAACGGGGTCCTGGGGGTGGGTCCCGAGGGGGATACCGGGAAGTCCCAGGGGGGTCCAGGGTCAGATACGACGCCCCCCCAAAGAATCCCGCGGCCCAACAAAGCCCCAGGACGAGCCAAGAATGTCCCAAGAGACCCTCACGAGACCACGGCCTGTCTCCGTCAACATCTGCGGGAACCACTACCACCTTCGAGTCTCGCCACCCCCCCCTTCACAACTAACCCCCCTCCATTCCCCCCCCCCTGAACCTGTGCCTCCACCTCCTCCCCATCCTCCTCACCCTTATCCTCCTCATGTAGCTCCTCCCCCTGCTCGTACTACTTCTCCTTCTTCTACATCGTCATGGTCAGCGTCATCAGGGTCGGCGGCACCGGCCCTAAGGCCTTCGCAATATGTGACACCTTTTTTTTCCATGTTTGACATACAAATAATAGCGAGGCGACAACCACATTTTGAAAAGGAACCGTCCTACATTCGTGAAGCTCTTGCAAAACTTGAACCCGAATCTGCGCGGCGCTGGGGCAAGAACTACAATTAGGGAAAGAAGCGCCCTTCATCCGTGAAACTCCTGCATATCTTGGCAACGAATGCGCGTGGCGCTAAGGTGAGAGCCACAATTCGAAAACGGCATGCCCTTCATTTGTGCCTGCAGTTTTTGCACATTTGAAATAAAAGGATAGGTGAAGCGATCACACGCGAGAGGCCCGGCCCGCCCTGCCGACACGCCTCGGCCTGCGACAGGGAGGGCCTAGCGGATTCATATTGTTAGGTGAGGTGCGTCGCCGATTTCGGTGGTTGGCTGGGTGCCCGGGGGTGCCCGGGGGTGCCAGGCCAGTGCCCGGGTGCCCGGATGCCCGGGTGCCCGGGGGTGCCCGGAGGTGCCCGGGGGTGCCCGGAGGTGCCTGGGTGCTCTTTTTTGTTTTTCGCCCTATAGCCCTATAGCTATAGCCCTATAGCCTCCTAGCCCTGTAGCCCAATAACACTATAGCCCTATAGCCTTATAGCCTTATAGCCGCATAGCCCTGTAGCCCTATAGCCCTATAGCTCTATAGCCCTAGAGCCCTATAGCCCTATATCCCATATAGCCCTGTAGCCGTACAGCCCTAGCCCTATAGCCCTATAGCCCTACAGCCCTATAGCCTTATCGCCCTATAGCCATCATGGTCTTCATAGCCCTCGGAGACTTCATACACGTAAGGAGCAATTGCAAAAAGATCTCATGCAATATCAGAAAAGACTCAGATTGGGGCTTTTCTCCGGTATCATGTTGATCAGCAAACGTGTGAAGGAGGTGAAGGAGGAAGGAAGGGAGCGGACGAACACAACCACATGCCAGACACGGGGGGTGACGGTTGACCAAGGGGGCGGGCGCCCAACCTCAGACCCCTCCTCGCTCCAGGAGGAGATAAAAGGCATCCAACCTCATTCCCCTCCTCGCTCCTCCTTCTCATCCTCGTCATTGTCATCTCCTCGTCGTCGCCCTCCCCTTCCGCTTCCCCCTCCTCCCCCTCCACCTCTCCCTCCTCCTCCTCGTCGTCGTCGTCGTCCTCCTCCTCCTCCTCCAACTCTCCATCCTCCTCCTCCTCCTCCGACTCTCTTCCCCCGCCTTCTGGAGCCTCCCTGGACAAGGGGGGGTCAATAAAGTCGCGGAGGCCACTGGAGATCTCAGGAGCTCCCAAGAGATCCCAGGTTCCCTCCCTTGCGGAGCTGGAAACATAAGGCCCAAGTATCTTCAACGCCTTGAACTTTGAAGAGTTCCAAGGGGTCGGAGCTGCGAGAACTTACCGAACATGTGTTTGAATGTCTGTATCCCATAGCTTTCGAAATTGCGGGAGGTCGTGGAGATGTGAAACAGTGCCCTTGCAGTTCTCTAAAACATTAAACTCTCGAAAATCCAATACCGTGCTTGCACGCAATGGGCGTGCCAGGGTGTTAAAACAGTCCCCCCGTCGACGCACGCCCCCCCCCCAAAAAAACACCCTCTCTGATTTTGTTATCTGCAGTTCCCCTTGGCCTCCGGACGACCAGGATTGTGTCCAGGACGGCTTCACAAACAACCGACCGAAACGACACCAAAGTGGCTCAAGACGTCACAAGGCGGCGCAATATGCTCTTAAAACACTTCCACGACCGCCCATCTGGCACCCAAAACGGCGCGAGAGGGCTCCAAGGGGCATCCAGGACGGCCCAACAAGTTTCGAACACCTTTTTGTTTGGAGAGCCCGAGGAGGCCAACATGTATGATTTGCCTTCAGGGTTGGATTGGTGCTGAAGTTCTCGCCTGTTCGGGTTTCCGATTGCCCACGACGCCCCAAGAAACCCCAAACAGGCTTCCAATCTAACTCCATCAGGGGGCTTCAGAGGCCTCAGGAAGCCCGAGGAACTTCAAGGAACCCCCTGGGGGCTTCCGGACGAGGTCCCAAGATGCCCCCCAGGACGTCGCAGGAGGCCTCACGAGCGGGGAGTTTGTTGCACAAGGCCCCAGAGGGGGGGGGAGGAACGAGGTAAGATTAGGAGGAAGAGGAGGAGATCGAGCCAAAGGGAATGTGCTGGAAGTCGCTGCTGACCGCACTGTTGTATGATGAGGCGGAGTGGAAGGGGGGAGGGGGGAAGGGGCGGGGGAAGGAAAAGGGTGGGCAAGCTAAGCGCGCTCGCGTCATCTATGATGCCATACCCCTCCCTCCTCCCCATCCCTGACTATGGCGCACCGGAATATTCGCACAGTCGGATGTCGAGCAGAGCCATGATCGCGAGAGGACGCGCGATGCATGGTAGAGCACGGCATGGCATGGCGTAGAGAGCGCGGCGAAGCGCAGCATGCCAGAGCACAGCGTGGCATTGCGCAGTGAAGCATTGCATCACACACCATTTCAACGTAAAGCATCTCATCGCACAGCGGCGCAGAGCACAACATCGCACAGCATGTCATGGCATGGCGCCGGGTTCCTTGGAGGGTGAATGGATCGTCTTCGAGAGGTCGTGGCCGTTTGGGAATCGTGGCTCCACGTCTAGCTCCTTGGGCTCCCTGGAAAGCTCCACACAAGGCGGGGTTGATGGAGAGCACCCGCTGGCTCTGTTTTCAACATCGCCTTGCCAAATCAGAAACGGGGCATGCCTCGCGCGCGCGCCTCGGCCAGATGGCAGCCTCTGCGCGCGACCGCTGCTCAATAGGCAGCCCTTTTAACATGGGCGCGAGGAGCTCGCACGGGTCGGTACCATCGTGCCGCGCCGTCCTCGCGCAGGCTCGGAGTAGGTTCAGGAGCTCGCCACACTCCTGCTCCTTGTCCGTGCCCCACTCCTCGCACGTGTTGCCGACAATGCCATTGCCACCGTCCTCGAAACTATCGCTGCCGGTAACCTCAATATCCTCCTGCTTGTCCTCGCCGTGGATGTTGGGTTCGACGATGTTCTTCTGTTTGCTGCCGTAGCAGTCAGAGTCATTCCCCGCCTTCCCGATGCTGTCGTCGACCACGTCGAAACGATCGTTGCCGATGACGTCCAGGTCCTTCTGCTCGTCCTCGGCGTCGGTGTTGGATTCCGCGATGCTCTTTTCCTTGCTACCGTAGCCGTCAGAAATCTGCACCACCTTCCCGATTTTATCCTCGACCGCATCCTTCTCTACGTTTTGGAGCTTGTCCTCCCCGTAGATCTTTTCGTGCACAACCTTATCGGTCTTCTCCTTGCCACCATCCTCGAACTTCTCGTTGACAATGACGTCTAGCCCTGGGTGCTTGCACTCGTTCAGTGCCTCGTCCACAACTTTCTGCGCCTCTCCGCAGCCCTGCTCGTAGCCGAGGCCAAGCACGTCGGCGCGGATGATGTAGAGGAGGTCCTTGATGTCGACGGGCTGGGCCTGAAGTTGCTGCATGTTGGACGCCTACAGGTCCTCGGATTCGCCGATGAAGCACGAGCTGACCCAATGCCTGTCTTGCACATTCTCTTCCTGCATGCTGTCGCGGAGGGTGCAGCAGTAATTCTCGGGGCCGTACTTCGCCTCGACCTTGATCTGATGCAGCTCCTCCGACTCGTACTTGACGCTGGTGCCGCCCTGCGCGATGAAGGGCTGCGGCTCCTGCGCCTGCAGCTTGTCCACCTCGGCTTCGTCCTCGGTGCCGTAGCCTGAGGTGTCGTTGGGGTGGCCCTCGAGCGCGATATCTTTACGTACCAACGCGAGGGTTGCTACGCACCGCGAGCCACTCGCGAGCCTCCGCCAACACGCCCTCAGCTCGCCCAGGGTGCCGCAGAAACCCCGCAGCGGCGTCCAGGGAGCGCGGGCTGCGCTCCAAACGGGCGGGTTGGCGCGCGCCCTTCGCGCGCGCCGCCGCCAGGCCGGAAGCCAAAGTGGCGACGCCGATGAGCGTGACGAGCTCCGCCGCCGCTCCCACCAAGAGCTGGGCCGCACTGCCCAGGCCGGCGCCCTCTCGTCCGCCGCCTTGTAGAGGCCCACCTGCTCCCCGCTCGCGCTCAGCAGGAGCCTCATGAAGGTAGCAACCTCCTCCACGTTCGCCACGGAGGCGGTAGCCATTCCATGCCGAACCGTCACTTCTCCGCCTCGCCCACTGCGCCCCATGGCGCCTAGGAAAACGGAGATGCAGCCTCGCCGCGGCTGCCCGTGAGCTGCGGCTGTCTGTCGCGGAAGCGGGGCAAAACAGCCTTGAGCCAAAATGGCTACGGGGCTTGATAGATCGTGACAACGGCGACGCCATAAAGTGGAAGGGGTTCTGCGGCCCAGAAATCAACGAATCGACACCGAATGTGTAATCATGTCCGCTGGTTTTGCCCAACCTTCCCTTGGTTGGGTATTCGTCTTGAATAGAGCACCGTGTGCCCCGTAGTATCCTGCTTCTATCCCCCCCGCCTCGTCCTTGTTCCCTCCTCTCCCTCTGTCATCCCGCTTGCGTCCTGCCTCGCGCCCGCGGCTCCCTCAGGTGTCATCACTTGCGCAGCGGAGGTGCTCTGGGCTCCTGGGAACTCCAGCGGAGGTGCGTCTGACGCAGATAACCATGACACCTCGCCGTCCCCTGGGGGGCTACGACATGCGAAACTGTCGCCACTTCCGTGGGCTCCAAGGGGGGCCCAGTGGAGGTGCGTTTTACGCAGATCACCATGAGACCTCGCCGTCCCCTGGGGCGGTTGCAATCAGCGAAGCTGTCGCAACTTTCGTGGGCTCCTGGGGGCTAGGCGGAGGTGCGTCTTACGCAGATCACCATGAGACTTCGCCGTACCCTGGGATGCTGCGGTCTGCGAAAGTATTGTCACTTCCGTGGGCTCCTGGGAGGCCCCGCGGAGGTGCGTCTTACGAAGTGACGCGGTCACAATGGGGACTACGATTTCGAACCAGTCGCCGCTTTCGTGGGCTCCTGGGGACCCCAGCGGGGGTGCGTCTTACGCAGAACACCAAGAAACCTGACCGTTCCCTGGGGGGCTGCGACATGCGAAACTGTCGCCACTTCCGTGGGCTCCAAGGGGGGCCCAGTGGAGGTGCGTCTTAATTAAGCAAATCACCATGAGACTTCGCCGTCACAATGGGGGCTGCGGTCTGCGAAACTGTCGCCACTTTCGTGGGTTCCTGGGAGCGACAACGGAGGTGCGTCTTAAGCAAGTCACCGTGAAACTTCGCCGTCACAATGGGGGCTGCGGTCAGCGAAACTGTCGCCACTTCCATGGACTCCTGGGGGGCCCAGCGGGGATGCGTCTTACGCATATCACCGCGAGACCTCGCCGTCCCCGGGGGGGTGCGGTCTTCGAAACTGTCGCCACTTTCGTGCATTCCTGGGAGCCCCAGCGGAGGTGCGTCTTACGCAGACCAGCGTGAAACCTCACTGTTCTCTGGGGGGGTCTGCGATCTGCGAAACTGTTGCCGCTTCCGTGGGCTCCTGGGAGCCCCAGCGGAGGTGCGTCTTACGCAGACCACCATGAGAACTCACCGTTCCCTGGGGGGGGGGGGGCTGCGATCTGCAAAACTGTCACGACTTTCGCTGGCTCCCGGAAGGCCCAGCGAGGGGTGTATTACGCAGATCACCATGAGACCTCGCCGTCCCCTGGGGGGCTGGGTTGCGACATTGGGGGGTCCAGCGGCGCTGTTCCCACGAATGACGTGTCCAATCGTGTCTCCATATTGTGTTTCCACATCCCCTCGAAGCCGCCTCCCTGCAATCCATCTGACCCTTTTAAAAAAGACGCAACATATGTGAACACGTGACTCCGGCCCGGCGTTCTTTGGCGAATCGTTCAAGGGAACGGCGGATTCTTCAGCGCTCGCTTTTGTATTGAGCAGTCCGAGCGCGGGTACTCGCTGCTTGAATGGCTTTGCGATTTGTTTCCCCACATCCGAAATGGGTCTTTTTTCTCTAGACACCCCGCGCAGTCACCCCGCGGCCTCTCCTCTTCACACCCGTTCCTCCTATCATCATCATCATCATCATCATCATCATCATCATCAGCAGCAGCAGCATCATCATCATCATCATCATCAGCATCAGCATCAGCATCAGCATCAGCATCAACATCATCATCATCATCATCATCATCATCATCATCATCATCATCATCATCATCACCGTCATCATCGTGTGTACAGCGGGTTGGGTACGTTCCTGAACAATGTCGAAGCATATACTAGATTTCGGCGCCTTGTTGGAAGAACCGACAGTACCGGCGCTGCAGCGGGAGCACGATTTGGAACAACTGGAGGCGCAACACTGGGGACAACGCCTCAGCGGGAGCAACAATTTGAAACGGGTAACCTAAGCGACAACCTTTTTCACGCGAGTTATATATATATATATATATATATATATATATATACATGTATATACATGTATATATATATGTGTATATATCGCTCGTGCTTCCGCGGCGCACAGTGTCCAGGTGATCACTGTACATATATATATATATATATATATGCGTGTGTACATATATATATATATATATGTACTCGAACCATCGCGCGCGCTTCGCGCGCGCTCAGTTCTAGCTCGGCTTGATCGGCTAACTCATGTAATATCAGTTTGGTCGCTTCTTGCGTCCAGGGACTCCCTTGGAGGCCCTGCGCAAGCCTCGGAATCGCATAGAAGGGGAAGTGCGGAAACGCAGAAATCGTTAATTTTCGTTAGGTTTTCAACGATTTGGGGAGGTGAGAAGGGGAGGTGAGAAGAGGAGGTGAGAAGGGGATCTGAATCGGGTTCTGTTGTGCAAGGGTAGACCGTGGGCCCAACTTGAACAAAACACAAGAATTGTATGATTTCAATGTTTTCGCAATTCCTCGGCGCTGTTCGGCGCTGCATTTTCCCCTCATGTTTCGTGGGGTTTTGGTGTTCATCCCTGCCGCGTCGAACCCGCAAGCCTCACCTCACCTCCTCCTCCTCCTTCTCACACAGCGCAGCTCAGCACAGCTCATTACAACACAACACAACACAGCACAGCACAGCTCATCTTAACACAGCACTGCACAGCACCTCAGCACATCTCACCACTGCACAGCGTATCACAGCACAGCATCTCTGGACACCATTGGGGGTGCGCAGCAGGTGGTCTCAGAGGGCGGCCGCTATCCACGACACTGTCGCAAAGCCTAGCAAACGTGGCACTTTCTGGACACCCTACGGGGTGCGCAAGGGGTGGTCTCTCAGCGCGGCCGCTATCCACTACACTGTCGCAAAGCCTAGCAGGCGTGGCATTTTCTGGACACCATACGGGGTGCGCAGGGGGTGGTCTCTCAGCGCGGCCGCTATCCACGACACGGTTGAAAAACCTAGCAGGCGTGGCACTTCTGGACACCATAAAGGGGTGCGCAGGGAGCGGGCCTCCCAGTGCGGCCGCTATCCACGACACTGTCGCAAAGCCTAGCAGGCGTGGCACATTCTGGACACCATAGGGTGCTCAGGGGGCGGGTCTCTCAGCGCGGCCGCTATCCACGACACTGTCGCAAAGCCTAGCAAGCGTGGTACTTTCTGGACGCCACACGGGGTGCGCTGGGGGTGGTCTCGCAGCGCGGCCGCTATCCACGACACTGTCGCAAAGCCTAGCAAGCGTGGCACTTTCTGGACACCATAAAAAGGTGCGCAGGGGGCGGGTCTCTCAGCGCGGCCGCTATCCACGACACTGCCGCAAAACCTGGCATGCGTGGCATTTTCTGGACGCCACACGGGGTGCGCTGGGGCTGCGGTCGATATCCGTTTCGGGCTCGCAACGTGTGGCAAGCGCGGCACTGTCTCGATGCTACAGAGGGTGCGCTGGGGGTGCGGTCGCTATCCGCTTCGGCCTCGCAAAGCGTGGCAAGCGTTTCGGGCACGCAGCGCGTGGCACGCGCGGTACTTTCTCGATGCCACAAGGGGTGCGCCGTGGGTGCGGTCGCTATCGGGCTCGGCCTCGCAAAGCCTAGCAGGCGTGGCACTTTCTCGACGCCACAAGGAGTGCGCTGGGGGTGCGGTCGCTATCCGTTTCGGGCTCGCAAAGCGTGGCAAGCGTGGCAACTTCTCGGCGCCGAAAAGGGGTGCGCTGGGGGTGCGGTTGCTATCCGTTTTGGGCCCGCAAATCGTGGCAGGCGTGACTCTTCCTCGACGCCACAGGGGGCGCGCTGGTGTGGCAAGCGTTGCATTTCCTCGACGCCGCAGGGGGTGCCTTGGGGGTACGGTCGCTATCCGTTTCGGGCTCGCAAAGTGTGGCTGGCGCGGCGCTTCTCCTCTCCACCTCTCCCCTTGACTGGTGTCGCCATGCAAGCTGCGCCACTGGGACCTTAGGAGACGCTCCCTATGGGGCCTCGAAACATGTGACGGGTATGCCAACATGGGGCGGCGCCGCCATGCGAGCTGCGTCACTGGTGCCGTCGGTGGAGCTCCCTATGGGGCCACGAAACGTGTGAGGGGTGTGCCAAAAGGAGGCGGCGACGCCATGCGAGCTGCGTCACTGGGGCCTTCGGTGGAGCTCCCTATGGGGCCACAAAACGTTTGAAAAGTGCGCCCAAATGGGGCGGCGGCGCCATGCTGACTGCGCCACTGGGACCTTAGGTAGAACTTCCTATGGGGCCACGAAACGGAAGAGGGTTGTGCCGCACTAAGGCGGGAAGGCCATGCGGACTGCGCCACTGGAACCTTAGGTGGATCCGTCTATGGGGCCACAACACGTGTGAGGGGTGTGCCCAAATGGGGCGGCGGCGCCATGCTGACTGCGCCACTGGGACCTGACGTAGAACTTCCTATGGGGCCACGAAACGGAAAAGGGGTGTGCCGAAAGAAGGCGGGAGGGCCATGCGGACTGCGCCACTGGAACCTTAGGTGGATCTCCCTATGGGGCCACGAAGCGTGTAAGGGGTGTGCCAAAATGGGGCGCCGCCGCCATGCGAGCTGCGCTGAGGGGTGTGCCAAAATGGGGCGGCGGCGCCATGCGGACTGCGGCACTGGGACCTTAGGTGGAGCTCCATATGGGGCCACGGAAACTTGTGAGGGGTGTGCCAGAAGGGGGCGCCGCCGCCATGCGAGCTGCGCCACTGGGACCTTAGGAGGAGGTCCCTATGACGCCACGAAACGGGTGGGGTGTGTTTGCCAAAATGGGGCGGCGACGCCATGGGAGCTGCGTCACTGGGGCCTTCGGTGGAGCTCCCTATGGGGCAACGAAATGCGTGAGGGTTGCGCCCAAATGCGGCGGCGGCGGCGACATGCGAGCTGCGCCACTGGGACCTTAGGTGGAGCTCCCGATGGGGCCACGAAACGTGTGAGCGGTGTGCCCAAACGGGGCGGCGGCGCCATGCGGACTGCGCCACTTCCTAAGGGGCCACGAAACGGGTCAGGGGTGTGCCGAAACAGAGACATGCGGAGAGCAGAAGCAAGGTGGGGGAGGAGGGATGAGGGGGAGGAGGGCGAGGAGGAGGGAGGAGTGGGACGCGGGGCGCTGTCTCTTCAGAACGAGGACCCAACACCACGAACTGGTTGGGACAAATTATCCTGGCCCACTCGTTTCTTCGATCGTCCACTGCGCTGCCAAATGCACACGGAAGGGAAGCCCCTGGCCTGCATCCGGCCCCCCTCCATTCGGGAGCTGCAGAAGAGATGTGCGCTCCCAACCACGAACCAGAATATGGTCGCCAATTCGCAAGGCCGCCCTCATGTCACAATCCTCTCGAGAAGCTTCATGTGCGAACTCGTGTACGCACAGGTCACTGTGTCTCTTTTGATCCCTGCGACGGCTGGCTTCTGAACTATCTGAACCATCGGTAACCGTGATCTTTCGCGCGGCGACAGGCGCGAATGTAATATTCGCGCCTAGCGCCGCGCGAAGGATGCACGGCTACCGATGGTCACCAAAACGCTACGAGGATACATGTTTGAGGTGCCCTTGCCAGCATGTCGGATGGCAAGGTTCGGTTTGCTGCGCACAACCCAGGCAGGTCACGTTGTAATTGGACAGCTGCTCCAGCTCCAGCAACGCGGACTCCATTGCCTCCTGCGGGCGGCAGCCGCAGGAGAAGGCGAGCAACACTAGACAAACTCGTGAGGCGAGACCGGAGTCCCGCCGCCGATCCAAGAGATCTGCGCGGAGCTCCGAAAGTGTAAAATCACCGTCGAACCCAGGCCAGAAGAACATCCTCCAAGAACAGAAGGCCCTCCGCCAGCCAAGACAAACAGAACATCCGAGGGTATCCTCCCCAAGATGCACAAGAATACAAGAACATCCAAGAAACACGAAGAACACTAGGGCACCCTCTCCGACCCGACCTCGATCTTACACCTTGGTCCGACCGTATCTTTATGCCGCTCGTCCTCCTTGGAGCCCGAGAGGCTCCAGAAGACGGGAGGTCTCGGCCGCCTCGCGGCACCAGTCGCAGCTCCAGGTCTTGGGGCGGGCTGCGACGTGCTGCGGTGCGACACCCTGCGCACCCTGCCTGGGAGAAAAAGCGGAGAGCACGCGGGGATGGATCAACCTTGAATCCAACATCAGGACGTTCGGAGGTACTTTTTTCTAAAGTGCCGTCGGTGTTGGTTGGGCCGAGAGTCGGGCAGCCAAGAATGCAAAGGTGGCGGCGGTGGTCAGGCCCGTTGGCCGCTGTCCCAGCTGGAAAAGCCTTTGGGACAAACGGCTGCTGGGAGGTCTGCGGGAATTGCTTGTGCTCCTCTAATAACGCCGAACCTTCGGGAGCAACTCCTGGCAAGTCTTCGTGATAGTATTTAAGACTATTAAGCCCGATCAAGAGACCAGTGAACTGGACCAGGCTGGATTGATCCCTGGAGTAAATGGGATCTAGCGGGGACAAGAGGGAATTGCCAGAACAAGCGGGAATATGCCGGATTAGGCTGGTGCTCGGCCACGGAGATACAAGCGCCAATTCTGAATCAACTGAACCTCCCAGGAAGGAAGCGCGCACCGCGGCCCAGAGCGGTCTGGGATTTGCCAGTCGAGTACTTGAACAAAAGTGGCGAATTACGGACGACTCAAGACGTTCGTCAGGTGAACGTCTTTTTGCTCCGCATTTCGACATTGGGCGGAAGGGGGGGAGGGGGGGTCTGGCTCCGGACCTCTGCTTAATGCGACTGTTTGCAGCCGTGTGTCCCATGGGGTAGACTTCACCTGCGTGAAACAGGCGCCCAAAACAGCCAAGATCCGTGGGGGGAGGAGAGGGTGCGAGGGCCCGCGCCTATCGGCAAAACAATGAATGAGAGAACGACGACCAGTGCCGGTACTGTTCCGTAGATGCCATCGGCCGTCTACGAAATCAACGTGACATTGAACAACTCATCGGCAGACCGCTATTCACGATACGACGCGCCAGCCAGATGGCAACGGTTAGTGAAATGCTACTGTGACCACGAAAGATGGAGGCATGGGGACGACGAGAACGTCGGACGGTGTCCTTCGTCTCAACAAGCTCAGCCTCGGCCTTGGCCTTCTCCTCCGACTTGTTGATGATCTCCGCGCCCTTGGCCTCGCCGGGCAGGAGTCGCAGAGGATGCTCTTCCAGCGGCTGAAATGAAAAAGCTTGGAGCTTGAGCTCGCCCCCCCTCCCCGCCCGACTCGCTGCCAGTTGGAGGCGGTCGGGGGGGTGAACTGGATAAGCCCAAGAAAATCTGTCAAGAGGGGGGATGAAAGCAATTACGCCATCATCAATCCCAAAACCCCTGCCAGATTCGAAAATTACCAGTTCCTCGAGCTTCGTCCATCCGTGGCAACGAATGAGCTCCTTCATACCCCCTCGGGGATCTACTGTCCGAGGTCAATGCGAAACTTCGGTCAGTCAGGTCGTGCAGGATCCTACTGGATACTGCAGAAGTCAGCAGGATCCTGCACGCTAACCTGGGTCAGTTCAGCCCTGGCCCTGCATGATCCTGCAAGATGCGGCGCTCTGACTGACCCCCGTTTGCACTCACCCCAGTCTCTTGAGCCCCGACCCCCTCCCTGCTGGCCAGAGCCGGTGCTGGGCCACCTCAGACCCCCAGCCCGCTCCATGCTGCCGCCTCCGCCGCCGTCGAGGCCGCCGCCAGTGCCGCCAACACCATCGATGCCGCTGCACCGCGGCCCCCACGACTGGCCATGCGTGCTTTCGCCTGCCATCGAGCTGCTCATGGAACCCCTGTTCGCCCTGGTGTCGCCCCCAGGCACCCCAAATTTCATGCTCAATTCCAAGATCAGTCAGCATCGACTCGGGAAGTCGGATCACATCCGGAATGTGCGTCGCAGTGGCGGCATCGGCACGAAGTCGAGATCGAGTCGGAGCGTCAGCACCAGGGCGCACAGCAACCCCATCCAAGCATGGGGCTGCATCGGATCGTCAGAATAGCCGGGGGGAACCACAAGGGGGGCGTCCGAGATGGGGATTGGCAAATCCGCCGACCCCTTGTGGGTCTCTAGGCGTGTGAAATAGTTCCCCCCCCCAAAAGTCCCCCCCCAGGGACCCCGAACCGGCGATTTGACCCCCCCCCCGGGGCCCCGGACGAGCGACTCACGGGCTTTTTTGGACCCAAAAGGGGCTCAAGACGGGCCAAGAAGGTCCCAAGACGCCTCCAAGACGGCCCACGAGGGCCCCGAGACGCCACACGAGCGCTCCAAAACGCCCAAGATGGTCCCATGACGAGCCAAGAGACCTCCAACACGGCCCAAGCGGCCTCCAAGAGCAGCCCTCAGAAGGGCCTACGAGCTGAAAATTGTGAAATTCCTATGGGAAAACGTACATTTTGATAATGCACGACTTGTCGGCCTTCACGGCCTTGAAGACCGTCCAAGAGCACCCCAAGACCGCTCCAAGAAGGCCCAAGAGGCCCCCAAGAGGCGCCCAAGTCGGCCCCAGAGGGCGCCAAGACGGCACAATAAGCCCCCAAGACTGCCCAAGACGGCCCCACGAGGGGCCCAAGAGGGGGAGCTTGAACCGACAATCCGAACCTTCCGCCCCAAGACGGCCCCAGAAGGCCCCAAGAGGCCTCAGGAGGCCCCCAAGACGCCTCCAAGAAGCCCCAAAAGGCCCCCAAAACGGCCCCAAACGGTCCCAAAACGGCCCCCAAGAGGCTTCGAAACTGCCTCCAAAAGTCCCGCGAGAAGCCCCTCGCCCATTCTTCCTCTGCCTCCCTCGCCTCATCCTCATCATCGTCGATTCTTTTCCCCCCATTCTTCATTTCCTCCGTGTGCCCCTCATCCTCCTCCTCCTCACCGTCCTTTTCCAACTCGGCCCCCCGGTGGTTTCAAAACTGTTTTCCAGATGTCCCTGAAAGGCGTGCCGCGAAATCGCTATACACATACAAGAATTTCTCACCCATAGACCATAAATCGCTATACACATACAAGAATTTCTCACCCATAGACCATAACCCAGAGCCTCATCTCAATGTCCCCCTCCTCCTCGTCCTCCTCCACCCTCTCCACGTTCCCCTCCTCCTCGTCCCCCTCCTCGTGTTCCTGGTCCGCTTCGCCTCGTCATATTCGATGATTCGCCCCCCCCCCTATCCTCCGCCTCATCTCCATTCGCCTGTCCCGTCCTCCTTTTTCTCACCAGCACGCGTGCCCGATTCGACATCAGTTGCATGTCTTGCACTTCAGGGTGCCTTTTGTTGGCGTTTCGCGGGACATTGTGCGGGTCGGGGAACGCCGACTTCGGTAGCCTTCTCTCGCACGCGCCGCTGCACTGATACGGCTGGCAACTGCGGGCTGTGAACCCGAAGTCCTTGCAGCCTCCGCACACCACTTTGGCTCCTTTCGCCTTTCGATGATGTTCCACTTGGTTGGGCTTCAAATGTTTCGTGTCCGAGAACGCTCCTCCGCACGTCGCGCACGTCAGCGGCTTCGCGTCCGCCTCGGCTTTCCGTTTGCGATTCGCTGCCTCCGCATTGCCCCGTCGCACCTCTCTCTCTCTCTCTCTCTCTCTCTCTCTCTCTCTCTATATATATATATATATATATATATTTCTCTCTCTCTCTCGTTGTTCCACGCATTTCTGACAGAGCCTCTCCCCCGCAGTTCCGTGCTTCTTCTGAGCTTCTGACATCTCTGCCTTTCCGTCATACAGCGGCAGGCACTTATCGTTCGTACATCGCGGGCGCGTTCGTTCCACGCTCTCGTTCCACTTCGCGTTGCCTTTCCGCGACTTTTGCTTGGCTTTGACATGGCTGCACGTCGCGCAGTACATTGTCCTAATCCTTTTCGTCTCCCCGTCGTCGACCGCCGCATCCGCGTCCCTTGGGCCGTCTTGGGCGCCTCTTGGGTCGTCTTAGGGCCCTCTCGGGCTGTGTTGATCCTCTTGGGAGCACCCTGGGCCGTGCTGGAGCGGGTTTTGGGGCCTCTTGGGCCGTCACCGACGCCGTGGAGGCCGAAAACTCGCGCATACTCAACATGCACGTCATCCTTAGGAAAATTAATGTTGTTTAGCGTTTGGGGGCGCACCGTGGGCGCCTTGTGGGGCGTCGTGGAGCCCTCCTGGGCAGTCTTGGGCGGTCTTGGACTCTCTCGGAGCGTTATTGGGCGTCTTGGAAGTATCTTCGGCCGTCTTGAACCCCTCTTGGACCGTCGTGAGCGCCCAAAACGGCCCAAGAAGCGCCCAAGAGACCCCCAACACGCCCCGAGCGGCCATTCACACTCATCCATCCGCCCCACCCCCCTCCCCAGGACCCCTCCCTCGAGGTCTTCGCCCAAACACAACGTCATCACTCGTACCTGGTTCTTTCCGTCACGTGGACCAGCACGGGAACGGAAAGGGCGTTTCAAGGACTTGCCCGCGATAGCTCGCGTAATCACAGCCTTGGCGCTGGAAGCGATGTTTCACACCACTGTGCGCAATCGCAACCTTGGTGATCGAAACTCGTTACGTCATCGTTCTTAGCGGTAGCTTTGGCGTTAAGAATTTGTTCCAATTCCCCGCGCTCCCGAGAGCCGTGGCGTTGAATGACTTGTCACCTCCTCCTCCTCCTCCTTCTCCACCTCTTCCTCCTCCCCCTCCTCCTCTTCCTCCTCCTCATCATCCTCCTCCCCCTCCTGCCTCCTGCTCCTCCTCATCCTCATCCTCCACCTCTCCTCCTCCTCCTCCTCCTCCTCCTCCTCTCCTCCTCCTCCCTCCTCCTCCTCCTCCTCCTCCTCCTCCTCCTCCTCTCCTCCTCCTCCTCCTCTCCTCCTCCCACACCTCCCCCTCCCCCCCCTCCCTCCTCCTCCTCCTCCTCCTCCTCCTCCTCCTCCTCCTCCTCCTCCTCCTCCTCCTCCTCCTCCTCCTCCCCCTCTGCCTCATTCCCCATCCATCCCCCCTTCCCCCTCCACCCCTTCCGCCTCGGCCTCTTGGGAGCGGACCTCTTGGAAGCCTGTTGGTGGCTGGCCAAGAGGTCCCCAGGACGGCCCGAGAGGGCCTCAAGACGACACCGAGAGAGGCCTAAGAAAGCACCACGAGCTTCCCAAGAAAGCCCCTAGAGGCCGCCAAGAGAGCCCCAACAGGCCGCCAAGAGAAGGCCCTCTTCGGCCGTCTTGACGGTATCGGGATAAAGCCGTCTCTCCCCGCTTTCGCCGTTGGGAGCCTTGGCGTGATGAGCTCTCTGCGTTACCGATCACTCTTTATTTGCCCTGGGTCTTCTGGGCCGTCCTCTTGGGGCCTTTTAGGGGTTCTTTTGGACTGTCTTGGGGCCCTCTTGAACCGTCTTGGGACCATTTGGGACGTCCAGTTTTCTCGAATGCTGAGGGCTAAACCGATAACTCTCAGAAGGTCTTGCATGCTTCCCCGATTGCGGAAAAACGCCTGACGGGGAGCTGACCAGGTCTTCCAAATTGTGGTGAGAGTTTCACCGATAACTCTCAGAAGGTCTCCCGTGCTTCCCCGATTGTGGGAAAACGCCTCACGGGCTGGCAGGCCCCTTAGGGGCGGCGCGGGCGGGCCGGAGCCCAGCCCCTTGCATCTCAAAGTAAGACAACCATAAGGTAAGCTGCACTGAATGCTATCATAAGATATTGCATCCTAAACGAAGGTTATAGACGAAAGGTAAGCTGCATTGAATGCCGCGCTGCAGGGACCAGACATTGCAAGACGAGAGAAAACGACTAATGATGCTTGACGATTTCGCGCTGCTATCACAAGGAATACAAGGGGTCGGCGGATGTGGCGCAAGCCTGTAGAATCAAGGCTAAGGGCATGTGCGCGGAAGAGGAGGCGGCCATGGGGACGTACTGAGAGAAGAGGGAGCCATGACAACTGGGCAGATCTCATGGCCCCCACCATACTATCCACCCCCCTAATCATCATCACCCTCTGGACGTCCGCGAAATAGGGGAACGAAGTCGGATCGGGCTGGCCGGAATCGGCGCCGCACCGGGCCGACCTGATCGAGATGGGCCACAGAGCTCCTCAGACTGTGGCGACATTCCTGCCCAGAGCTCACCTGCCAGGCGGGGGTCTATCCATAGCCACCGCCTGGGGGATCGATCGTCGGGGACCTCGGCAGGCGGTGGATGCGTAAATGTGCTTTT